GCAGCTAAAATGTCATATACAAGTAAATTACCATTTATTTGATAATATAAATGAGACAGTATAATATCTATCCTTAGTCACAAGTTCCAAGTAGGTACATGGAGACTTTGAACTTTATAATCTTCCAAAATTTCCACTGAAAGTTGTAATATCATCATTACAACAATATGCAAGCTCCGTGACAGTAGGATTTCATATGCTCTAGCTGAATGTTGAATGCTTAGGGCTGATAAAAATATTTATCTAATATCACTAATCATTAAAGAAATGCAAATCAAAGCCACAATGAAATGCTATCTCACATCAGTCAGAATGGTTATAAAAAGTCAAAAAACAACAGATAATGCAAGGTTGTGGAGAAAAGAAAAGGTTTATACACTGCTGATGGGAATATAAATTAGTTCACCCATTATGGGAAGCAGTTTGGTGATTTCTGAAATAAAATAGAATTACTATTTGGTCTAGCAATCCCATTATTGGACATATACCCAAAGGAATATAAATTTTTCTATCACAAAGACACATGCACACATGTTCATCGCAGCACGATTCTCAATAGCAAAGACATGTAATCAACCTAGATGCCCATCAGTGGTAGACTGGATTTAAAAAATGTGGTACATAAACAACACGGAATACTATGCAGCCCCCAAAGTAATGAGATAATGTTCTTTGCAGCAAGATGGATGGAGCTGGAGGCCATTATCCTAAGTGAACTAATGCAGGAACAGAAAATCAAATACCACAGGACCTCACTTATAAGTGGGAGCTAAACATCAAGTACATATGGAAAGAAAGAAGGGAGCAACAGACACTAGGCCCTACTGGAGAGTGGAGGGAGGCAAGAGGGAGAGGATCAAAAAAATATGTATTGGGCACTATGCTTATTACCTGGGTAGGAAATAATCTGTACACCAAACCCCTGTGACATATAATTTACTCATGTAATAAACCTGCATATGTACCCCTGAACTTAAAATGATACATATATGTATATATATAATTGTGTGTATATATGTGTGTGTGTGTGCCTGTTTAGTAATAACTTATGATTTAGTAAAAAGAAATCTAAGCATAATAAAATACCTCTCAATTTCAAAATCTGTTGAAGGGGTAGGAGGAAGGAGTTAAAGTATCTGTCCAGTAATCCACTTATTTTTTTTTTAATATAAAATGAGGGCCTGTAGGAAGAAAAGAGACTGTGAAGTAATCTAATCTCCATGTCAACTGGAACTCCAGAAAAAATAGACAAATTATATTTTTCAGGAGAAAGACACCTTATCTATTGCATGCCTTTGGCAGGATGGACCCTGGCTAAAGATTGTTTATATATATATATCAATATATATGTAATTGATTCCTTGTCTTTGCTATATATATATATATACACACACACACACACACACATTTTATGTATACATACACACACACATATATATAACTATACAAATTTTATAGTTACATATATATAGTTTTAGGTAAATTGCTTGTATGTATATATAACTACCATCTATCATCTATCTAGTTATATATAGTTATATAATTTTTTAGAGACAGGGTCTCATGAAGTCTATCAGGCTAAAGTACAGTAGCATGATCATAGCTCACTGCATCCTGCAAACCTCAAATGTTCCTCCTATCTTGGCCTCCCAAAACTCTGAGATTACAGGCATGAGCCACTGTGACCTGCCAGGATTGCTTCTGTGAAATAAACACAGAGTCTGTGAGGTGTGTTCCCTGGAAAATATCAATAAACTACACAACCCTCTGGAAAACAAAATGAAAATACTTCGTAATGTAAAATTGCCTCTGTTGGAAGTAAACTCATAATCCTTACTAGAGACTTCGTTTTCCTGGGTCAGAAGTGCATGTTCTCCAAGGGAAGAGAGGACCTAGAAAGCTACCCTTGATGTCCCAGATGTCTCTTTGTTTCATTTGAGTCTCTTGATTGTATCCTTGATGTTATTAGTACAGTTTCATACTGAGGTAAGATCTTTGAATTGTGTCATTCTAATTTGACAATCCAATAATGTTAAACTGATTTATGAAGAAGAAAAAGTAAGGCACATATGTTTTGTATAACAATAAACATGTCATTTAGACTGGAGCATGTTCAAGACTGAAAGGCACTGTTATGCACCAGGACAATGAGCACAAACTGTGACTCTCTGGGGCCAAACTGGGACATGTAGTTATAGTACAAATAGCATGGGTCCCATTCATCAGTGTATTTACCTAATAAATATTTAAAAAGTTTTACCAACTTTGAAAGTCTAGGTGAGAAAATGGAATAATATGGTCCCACATAGGAGTTGTAACACTCAGCAATATATTAATTATTCAGGCTGACCTTATATTAACAATATAAGCATTAGAAAATATATAGAATAACATATTATTTCCAATTAAAAATTTAAAAATCATATATTACTCTTGTAGGTATTTTGATTATCACCATTATATTTAGCCACACAAATATCAGTATTTAAGAATGATATCTAAAAGTTGGAATTACGGTAATAGGTGATATGAATAGCACTTAAACTAATCTATGCTCCATCAGAAACATTAAGCATCACATATATCTCAAGTAAGTCTTATATAAATGTCTCATGTTTAGGAATAGCTCATGTTTAGGAATAGCTCAAGGAATGAAGATACAAAAATGTGCAAGATATGTAATTGATAATACCAGAACCATTACTTACTGAGGTGAGCTTTTCTTGGAGATTTTAGAGGCAGTATAAAATCTCGTATGTTAGCTAAATTATGTGATTCTTGTTCTTACCAACTAATTTAAGGACCATAGATGGGCTTTGGTGATCCCATGAACCTCCTAAAATTATAAATAAAATGCTTTTGTGCATATATATATATATTTAATTGAGAGAGATTAATTTTTTATCATGTTCTTAAATTTCTTCATATTTGGGCTTGTGAACAAAGAAGAAAACATAATTAGTGCTCAGGAGTAATAGTATCTAGGAAATAGGTGTACTGAGAGATGATCCATATTGTGGGGCAATTTATGCTCACATCTATGCTCTGATTATGAAGAGATATCTAGCCTAGTTGGAAGTAGGTACCTATTAGCAGACTGTACCATTTTGAAAAAAAAATCCTCAGTCATTCACTCAAATTCCCTTCACCTTAGAAGGCAGCAGTAATAGCTAGAATTTATGATATCCAGATTTAACTTTTGGTATGAAATTTTGATTATTCAAATATTCTGACCATAATGTTCTTTTATGATTTATACATACTTAATACATTTTCCAAGGATAAATATAACAAAATATTGATAACACTAAAAATGTCTTTGGCTCATAATTTAGAATTTTTGATACTCAGAAGGTTGATTTCTTTTTTTCAATGCCTTGAGATTATTGAGAGCATAAAAATCGAAAAGTTTAAAATACCTCAAAAGCGTTAAATATTGTCAATGCTTTTACTTCTTTACTTCCATTCACTCTTAACCTTCTCCAACATGGTTCCTATCTCTGCTACTTCATTGAGTTTGCTTTTGTCAAGGCCACCGTTGATATCTATATTCCAGATTCAATAAATACTATTTAGTTTTCATATTCCAAGACTTTTAGCCAGGCGAGATGGCTCACATTTATAATCCCAGCAGTTTGGGAGACCGAGGCAGTTGATTGCCTGAGCTCAGGAGTTCAAGACCAGCCTGGGCAACATGGTGAAATTCCATCTCTACAAGAAATCTAAAAGATAGCTGTGCATGGTGGCATATGCCTGTAGTCCCAGCGACTTAGAAGGCTGAGGTGGAGGATCGCCTGATCCCAGGGGGTCGAGGGTGCACTGAGCCATAATCATTCCACTGCACTCAAACTTAGGTGACAGAGTGAGACAGTTTTAAAACAAACAAACAAACCAAAAGACCACACACACAAAGTCTTTTCAACTGGCCTTCAATACAGTTGAACAGTCCATTCTTTTTTTAAAAAAATAGTTTTATTAAATTAGTACATGTGTAAAAATGGAGAACTGATGAAATAAAGCCACTGGCAATGAGGAACTAACAGAGTTTGACCAATTCATTTGCAAAGAAGAGAAAATCAAATGGGATAAAGACACCATCATGGGATTAAAAAGGAAAGATTTGAATATTTAAGAATGAGGAGAAGCCCTTGAGAAAAATAAGACCTTCAAATGATTTTACAAAAGTGATTTTATGATTCTTTTGTGAAAGATAAAGAAAAGCATATCTAATCATGACAAATTTTACCAGAACAAATTTTGTAAGACAAAAACAAGATCACATTTAAAACTAAAATTTTATCAGTGATAATGTAAGACAATATGCATTTTTATTCAACAAAAATGATTATGTCCCAAGTCTGAAAGAAATTTAATAACTTATAAATTTTAACTAATTTGTAGTAATTATTCTGATACTTGACAGATTTCCTAAAGGAGGTACAATGCTGACATAGTCATACAGTAACAAAGCTATCAGTTCAATGATTCTTGCTAACAAAAATTTCTCATAATTCCCAACTTCTACCCCAAATGAGGTTCTTGATATCCATAAAATAACCTTCTGAATATGTATATTTAGAAACTATTGAATAATATATAATTTTTTAACATTGCTTTAACATTTTTAATGGGAATAGAGAATACACAGAGAAAAGTGAACAAATCACAGGTGTATAGCTGGATGAATTCTTCCAACTCGTATAACCATCACACAGATCAATATCAAAATCCTAGATGCCTGTCTGTAATTTCTTCTACTCACTACTCCCCTAAGAAGATAATTATCATTTTTTAGCTTTTTATACATGGATTACATGTACTCTTTTGTGTCTGTCTTCATTTGCTCCAAGATATGGATTTTTTATCTAGAAGTCTCAACACATATTTCATTAGACTTTTGGATTTATACTTGCCAATCAACATGCCCAATTTCTAATTACATTATTTACTCTTCATCAAAATATATTTATTAAATACAATTAAAAATTCATATAACTAACCTTTTTGAATGAGATGTCTTGATGTTTTTGATTTCATGCCAAGATCTTTTGGTTTTAATTCACATAAAATAGATGAAACATGTTTTCTGTGTTCACTGGAAGTTTTTAAATCAACAGGATAATATATATTCTGTGAAAATAAAATAAAAGCAATGAAAATGATAATATCTCATGCGTTTTAGAGTTCTCCAAGTGTTCTCACATGAATTATACATTATCATGATTGACTTTCATTTAAAATACAAAAACAAAAACCTGTGAGGTAGGCAGGGCTAAGAAAAAAAATTTAAAAACTCCATTGTGTATAATTTTAACAATCTGTCTTTCTACTAATATTGGCCAATGCCATAAGAGAGACTGAGGGAAAGAGAGACCTGCCAGGAGAGTGCCGTGACAAAAGGAACAAGGGAAGAGGGAAAATAAGGAATAAACAAAGAGAAGCAAGATAGTTTTCCCCAGAAAGCCTGAAGGAAGATTAAGAGTAATAAAGGGAGGGACAAAATTATTTCACAGAGCACTTAAAGGCAGTAACATGGAGGAGAAAAAGGAGGGACAATAACACAGAAAGAAAGGAAGGGAGAAATGGGACCAGAATTATCACGTTTTAAAACTACAAATGGGCCAGGTGTAGGGGCTCATGCCTGTAACCCCAGCACTTTGGGAGGCCGAGGCAGGTGGATCAACTGAGGTCAGGAGTTCGAGCTCAGCCTGGTCAACATGGCGAAACCATGTCTCTACTAAAAATATGAAAATTAGCCAGGTGTGGTGGTGCATGCCTGTAATCCCAGGAGGCGGAGGTTGCAGTGAGCTGAGATTGCACCATTGCACTCCAGCCTGGGCAAAAGAGTGAGACTCTGTCTCAGAAAAAAAAAAAAAAAAAAAAAAAAAAAAAGGACAAATAGATCAGCTATGTGTGGGAAGAGTAGCAAGTAGAATATTGAAGAGGAGCTTCATGGGGAACAGGGGCATTGTGGAATGTAACTGTATAATATCTGTGAACCGGGTGGGATGTTTTAGTAACAGTGTTATCTACTTTCCTCTTCCCAGTTCATCCAGGACTGTTATGGAGCTTTCATCAGGTTATCGGGGCATAGGCTCTTTCAAAATTCCTTTATCATCTCTTACTGTATCTGCATGGGTACTATCCTCAAACTTTTCGCATGAATCAAAATAGCTACTAGAGCTCCAAATACCGTTTCAGTCAGAAGTTGGAGGAAAAAGGAAATGACAATAGGACACAGGCCATGTATCTTAAGGAGCTTTTCCAGAGGTTCTTCAAATAACTTCTGTTGAATATCTCATTGGCCCCATATCCCGCTATGAAGGGGAGGGTAAGGAATGCTAAGCGTTTTGCTGCCTGGAATGAAATTTGGGCCTGTTACCATGGTAGAAGAAAAGAGTATATATTGGTAGGCAACCAATAGTCTCTATCATAGAGAAAAAGTTCAGAAGGTTAGATGAGGGTATGTGTTTATGTATTAAAAAACTTTCTCGGGATATGATACTTTCTTTGGTAAGAAACACTGATCTAGCTTCTGAAGACTCACAAATATTTATTTTCACATAGATCTTTCTGAGGTCTTTGCTTTCGTGTATTTGTTTCTGGAACATTTACATAGTGCTTATCATTTGCCATTGTGAAGTTCTTTATGAATATTAACTCATTTAATAATCATAACAACCATAAACTGATTTCTTTCACATGGACATCTCATATTCAAGAGAATCAAAACCATATTTTTTTCCTCCAAATATATTAGTTCTTAGTCCTACTTTCAGTGAATGGCACCATTTTTTGTTTAAGAAGAAGAAAGTCAGGTAAACTCTCTGATATGTCACAGCAGTTGACAGAACTTTGAAATAGAGAATTCATCCTCACATTTCCCCCACTACTTTGACCTGTTAACCGTTCAAATCTCCTTTATTTGATAATTTAGAAAAGACACTTGGATATGCGCCTCAGTCCCCTGTATTTACAATTTTCTGAGTTTCTATTATTTAAATGTTATATGTGATATTCTCTAATTTACTTATCAAAAATTTGTCTTCAAGCAATGACTCATAGGGTAAGGGCTTTTTAATGCTCATTATAGGTGTTAAGTATCATCTGTTCCTGGAATAAACCTGTTTTTATTTTTCATTTAAAAATTCTTCACTCATCAACTCTGACACAAGACAATGTTTTTTCACTCTCTATGTGATAAAATCACCTCATTTCGCTGGAAACACAAATAAGGACTTTTAAGCTCATAAATTCTCTTTACATTTAAAAATTTTTCAATCTTGCCAAGGATAATTAAAATTTAAGAAGTCACAATACCAAAACATATTGTCAAAATATGACACAATTTTAAGTAATGCTGCTTCTATTTTCATTTAGGCCCTGGTTTTTCTATTAGATAAGTACGACAAAATACAATGTGTGGCACTATTTTGCAATCCAGTTTGTAACAACAACTCTAAATACTTTTTCAGCCTCAAATTCTTCTGCAAGTCCTCTTCATGTTACATCATCACTCTTGTATTTTCCTACTTCTAAGAATTTTGCTCTATTTGGAAATTTCTCTCTGTTTCTCCCTCCTAACAATGCAATTCATCACATGTTGAAAATCACCTCAAATTGCATTTGAACCATAGAGATGTGTCATTTCTTTCTTCTATATATCTCACTTTTATCCTACTCATGATAAAATAATGAGTATGTTCAGTGATCCTGTTTCCACTAGTACTTACACCTTTAGATGCCCCTGAAAAAAACAAGAACTCTCCCTCCAAAAATCTGTCAAATTTGAGATATCCAAACTCTATCACAAATACAGTTAATTTATAGATTCATGAAATGTAAAGGGTCAGAAATTAAGTAGATTGCTAGTTAGCTCCTTTTAGAAACATATTTACTTCATTTCTCCTAATTATCCCTTTTCATGTATCTGGCTGTCATTGTTTGTCACGTTTTATAAAAATACTTCCTTCCATGTTTTTAGAAAAGAAGAATTCATGACAAAGGGTACATATATGACAGGGGAACAAATCTATAGAAAGATGATCAAAAAATTTAAACCTCTAAAGGAACTGAGGCTTACACAAGCTGCAAAAGTAAAGAAATGGGCCTTTCTGTTATATGTAATGCAAGAAAGGAAAGAGAATGTGTGCACTTACCGATTGATCTTTGAGATCATAGAGAATGAAAAGTTATCAGAAGACTGGGAATGATTTAATAACGATCTCATTTTCAATAACAGAAAGTATATTCGATTACCTACCCTACCTTAGACTTAACGCTGGTCCTCAATAATTGCAGAAAATATTTTAAGGGTATTTGGTAGCACTTAGTAAAGGAATAATAATCAAGGAATATTATAAGTTGACAATAAGCTAATTATATCAGATGCAATTTCATTTTTAACATGGTCAAAATTAATTCAGGTTCAAATATCCTTGGCATGATAAACCTGTATTCAGCGGTATGTTTGATAAAAGCTTTCATTACTTTTAGATAGAGATCAGAAATGCTGAGTGATCATGAAAGACTGAAGATTAATAAAATGATGCCAAGCTGAAGGGAGGTATCTAATGTCATGATACATGGTTCTGTTTTCAGCTCCATTCTGGTCAATGTTTATATAAATGAGAAGTAAAATATAAAAGAAATGGTTGCTACATTTTCCAATGAGATAATAAAATACAAAATCAATTAATACCAAACAAAAATCTAAGATAGTGTCAATAGCTTGGAGTAAATTAAGTAGATTAAGTAAAATAGAAATAAATATTGCAGTTGGGCAAAATATACTTAATCACTGGGGTACATGATGGTGATTTAAAATCATGAGTGATAAGACATATTATATTTATAAAATACATTTTAGTTAAAAGTAAATTAGTTAGGAATTCATTTATGATGTGACCCTAAGCTGTATTAAGCATTTCGTTGAGAATGGAAGAAGCAATAGTTTTACCATATTCACTTCTGAAGAACTATGTCAGATCAGGAAAACATATTTTCAGATGATTTTAGATAACCTAGAACATGAATAGTAAGCAGCCTACCTACTGAATTATTGTAAACATAAGCCCTATATAAATAGGCTATAGTTAAGTCCAGCATAGAGAAAAGATAAAGGGAGATTCAGGGTCCCTATCTCCTCCACTATCCATCTTTTTCATTTTGAAAAATATTGCTGAAAAAAATAATTTTTTTTAACTCAGAAATACTTAGAATTTGTTCTTTAACCCTTCTTCTGAAACCTTATGTCTAAGCTATCAGCAAATCTTGGCAAGGCTACTTCCAAAATATATTTTAAATATGCTCCCTTCTCTAAATGTTCAGCTACTTCTCCATTCTACAGCTATAATCATCTATTTCTGGTCAATCACAAATACCTCTTATTGGACTCTGCCTTCACCCTGGCTTTTATAATATACATCTACATTGTCAAAATGTAAATCCAATCATGTTTCTCTTTTAGCTTTAAATCCTCCGACTGTTCAGGATGCTAAGTCCTTTCTATGAGGTATAGAACGTCATCAAAATACGGCTCCTGACCGCACAGCCAAGCTCATCTCATGCTATTGTTGACCTGGTTCATTATAGTCCTGCTATACTAGATTTCATGCAGTCCCTTGCACAAACCCCAAACAAAATAAGCTATTGCATGCCTCAGGTCCTTGTGTAAGATCTTTCTTCTGCCTGCAACATTCTCCTTCCTATAATGTGCATGGCTAGCTCCTTTTTCTTCAGGACTTTAAATATTATCTCCTCAGAAAAACCATCCATAACAATCTTATGAGAAATAGTCTTCCTTCTATTATTCTCTATCTCAACATCCTACTTGTTTTGTTTATAAAATTTATCACAATTTTGTTTGCTAACATGGGTTAAGATTTGTTTTTTCTTCCTACAATTTAATCCACGAGGGCAAGGACTTTGCTTTTCTTTTTTTACTCAATGCTGAGAATGTTCTCTGACACTCAGTAGATACTTAATAATTATTTGTTAAATGCTGAATGAATATAGCCAGAGAGAAATAGCAGAAGGAATGAGTGGAGATTTACAAACTTCAGTTCAATATGATGCAAACAAAGCTCCATTCTTTAGAGACAGTCCAACAACCAGAAATAATTTTAAAA